TATCAAATAACTGTCGGCCCAGTGGAGCATCCCCCAGCCCAGCGCGGACGGGGGTGAAAGACCTTCCCCCCCAGGGCTGCACACCAAACCCCGGCCTTTAAAGACAAAACCTGCCCCCAACCCTCCTCTCCATCCCTGGGGCTGCCCCACGGCCCCGTCCCCAGGCAGCCCCCAGGCTGTGCTCCCCCAAAACTGCCTCTGAACTCAACCACCAGGCATCCGGCCATCCGCAGGGGCAGCAGCCACCAAGAGTCAGGATTTGGCAGAGTAGCACCCATGGGGCATCCCAGCATGTCACAACCCCGACAAACCTGGGACATGCTCACCATCTTGCTCAGGAGGCGATTAACAATCTCTGTTAAGCGCTAAGGACAGATAAGCCTCGCCTTTGGCGCTGTGCACCCCCAGCACCCTGCACCCAGGGTTTTCCACGGGTGCCCAAAGCATCACTTCCACAAGCCTCAAGGAGCAGCGAGGTAGGTGAAAGGCTCCCACCCAGGGAAACTGAGGCACACGGTTACACAGCTGGCAGGTGTCACACAAGCTGTAGTGCCAGGAACATCTTCTCACCCCTTGCCGGCACTCGCGCCACGACAGCTTTTAGTCCTCTTAGTGGGGCTGAAGGAAGTTGACCTTTTCAGCACGCAGCTCAGAAACGTCCGTTAAAATGGATCCATTCCAAAGATGAGAAGCCCAATACAGAAGGTTTCTTGCCTCGCAAACTCAAAGAGCTGCACTCAGCCCAGCTGACACAGCTCCAGCTCTGGTGCTTCCACAGCTCCCTTCAGCCTCACAACCACAAACTGAGGTTCACTTGTCCAGGGAACCGATGAAAACCAGCTTCATGACCCAAGCAGGGCAGTGAAGCTCTGCGGCAAGGTTAGGCGGGACAGCGACCCACGGATTCCAGCCGCAGGTCAGGCTGGTTTCTGACACAGTTCCCCCCGGCCTCCCAGTGCCCCTGCCAAGCTGGAGAGCACAACTGGGCATCGACGGTGATACTGCTGCAGCACTTGGGAAAAGCAATTCCAAACACCGCTCCTGGGCTGCTTCAGCTGTTACCGCAGAGTGCCCCTGGGTATTTCAATGGAATATCTCACCTTCCATAGCACCCAAAAGTGCTTTAGCAAATGTGAACCAAGCCTCATAACAACCTCACAAAGCCGGGCTAAACTGCCCCCATTTTACAGATGGGGAAACTGAGGCACAGTAAGGTTTAGGGACTGGCCCAAAGTTGCACAGCTAGTCAGGAACACAGTCTGGCTCGCCCGATTTCTTCTGCTTAGCCACGAGACCTTTCTTCCACAGGAGAAAAGGAACCCCTTCCCCAGTTAGCCCTGCTCTGGTTTCAGGTGGCTGAAGAGGAGCAACCAAGGGCGAAGGTCTGAGCTCTTCCCCCTGCAGCATCATATTAAGACTCACTAGGACATCCTGGAAGCTGGGCTTTGGGAGCACGACAGGTGATTCAAATACAGCAGTTTACAGGTTACAATAAAAGCCAAACCCCACACTTTTAGGTGACCCAGAGGAAGGGAAAAAATAAAACCTATTCACAGTTCACCTGCCTGTGCTAGGGAAAAAAAATACAAATCATATTCCCTTCCTCGTAGATTCCAGCCCCTCCCAACTCGCAATAAAAAGAAAATACTCAATGTTAGTTAGGCTTCACAAAGCGTTGAGGTTACAGACGCAGTAAACCAGCACAACTGGCATACTGCCTAGAACAGCACAGCTCGATATAAAAGTTGCTTTCTTAAAATCACTTCAAAACCAATTTCTGTATAAGAGGATTAAAAGGAAATTAGATATGAATTCAAAATCAGTGTAGAAATCTACAGTTCTTATCAAAGGCAGAATACAGTATTCACTTTGATAGTAAAACTCCAAGTGTGTCACACACACCTGACCCCAGGGACGTGTTATACCAGTAACAGTCAGTAGAAAAGGTTATTGCTTTAGCATCTCTCAGTAGAACGTGTTTAACAAGAGCACAGAAAAGGGAAATACCAGGGGGCTGACAGGTCTCATTAGCAAAGAGAGAAAGAAGAAAGGATATAAGCTTGGATCTTTGTTTTTTTTCCTGGCTTCTTAAATCCCTCCACTTCTCCCCACTCTTGTGACAGTTTCAGGCCAGATACACACACATGTCACGCTTCCTTGTGACAGGGATGGAAGAAAGGCTGTGCTCTAACCTCTCTGCACCTGCTTTTAGAGAAGGGACAATGCCTCTTCCTCTCTCCTGGGAGCAGCAGGCGAGGGGAGCAGATACCCCGGGCAGGCTGGGTGCTGACGGAGGTGCCTGGCACTGGATGTCACCCACAGGAGCGCACACCAGTGCTGAGGGGTGGTCAGGGCTTACTCCACCTCCTGCTCCAGCGTGTAGAGAAAAGGCAGGGAGTAACAAACTAGGGAAAAAAATCCACCCCACGTAGGAACATCTTGATTCCTCTTTAAAAAAAAAAAAAAAAAAAGTGGTATCATTTCCTTACAGTGTAATAGAACTGGAGAGACCCTTGCAGGGTCTTGGCTGCCTGCGCTGACGCTCTGGTCTCAGTAAGTCACACACGCCTCGCAGCTCCAGTGACCGGAGCCAGGGCAGCACCGAGATCACAGGGTGCCCCTGCTGCGCTATTGCAGGCGTGCAGACAAAAGCCTGACAAAGAGGTGTCAAAGCAGAGGGCTGTGTTGTCTGCAAGTGTCACGATTTGCTCAGAGAGCTGACACAGGATGAAAAGTGCTGGCAAAGCCTCCTTCTGCCAGGAGGGGGCTGGGTAAAACCTCCCTGTCAGAGCCCCAGAGCTAAACTCAGCTGTCAGACACAGCAAGGGCATTTCCAGTTGAATGGTCCATCTCCTCTCTGGACCTACTGCCTCTCCACAGCAGCAGAAAGCACGCCCATCCCACCCCCACCCCACCCTCCTCCCCTGCCTGGTAAGGTTTCTAAATCACAGTTATGTTCAGAGAGACAGAACTGCCAAGGGGGTGGCAGAAAGATGCTTAGCGCCCATCTACGATGCCTCTAACAGAAGAGCTTGAGGAAGCAGTTCTGGCAGTAGGGCTTGTCATTCTGCTCTTTGAAGGTTCCTTTGTTGAGCTGCTTGAGGCAGAAGGCACAGACAAAGTGTTCGGGGTGAAATTTCTTGCCCATAGCAGTGATGCAGCGTCCCGTGATTGGCTTCTGGCAACCGGAGCAGAGCGAGCCGCGACGCTCGTGGTAATGCACCTCGCAGTAGGGCTGCCCGTCGTGCTCAAAGAAGCTGCCATTGATGAATGGTGTGAAACATTCCTGCAGGAGGACAAAGCAGAAAGGGACAGAATGTATAATAAGCTCAGGATACACGCAGCTCCACAAGCCTCCTCTGCTCTGTGGCAGAGCCTGGCTGCACTGGCAGCAGCGTGAACTGCTGCCTTTCAGCATCGTCCTGTTGTCCAAAGACTCAAACTGTCCATCAAGACGAGTTTCCAAGGAAAGGCTGATATATGGACAGATAAAGCCACAAGCGAGGGAATTAACCCTGCTCCTTCCCCCAGCTGGTTTCACTTCTACAAAACAAATAAGGCAAATGAGCTACCAGATGTGTCCAGCCAGGAGAAGGGAGAACGCTCCTCTCCCTGAGATGCATAACACTGCAGCACCTTTCCCCTTTCTTTTTTTTAAATCTCACTCCAGTTTCCCCACCAATGGCAGGCAGAAGCAGGGACCAAGACACACTTGCATGCAGCAGAATTCTGATGAACATGGGACTGATTCCAGCTGAGAAAATGAGGCACAACTCATTTCCACAAATGATCTCTCCAGAATGGCTGGTACTATGCAGGTACGCTTCGCACTGGACTGTCCATCCTGAAACACCTCCACCATGTACCCACACGTTGCTGCTGGGAGAAACTGCTGTTTGTTCTACAGCACTAATGATGTTGAACAGACAAGAAGAGGACACACCAGCTATGTGCTTATTAGCACGCAGAGCTCCTCACTCCCCTCAGTGTCAGGCAGCTGAGGATGCTCCACTTTGGAATCTGCAACAGAAGCATCCACTCTCCCCACAAGACTGGGGAGATTCCCCTCCTTGTACGAGTGGGAAACTGAGGCAGCAGGATGTGGGAGAGAGTTGAGGATGCTGCCAGATTCACTGAACAGATCAGCAGCGAGGCCCCAAGGAGAAGCCAGGTTTCCAGAATCCTGGTTTTGGTTGGCTCCAACACCATCCTTGTCCCCAAGGAGGACACACAGTATCACACACAGCTGGACCCCAACACGTACACAGAGTCCAGCAAACAGCTTGCAGAGCCACAGACAGCTAAACATTAGCAATATGGGAATGTATGCAGTTTGCCCACAGCAAGTCCAAGACTTCCCTAATGCTGACAATCAGTTCAATGAAGTGTCTCCTCCCTCTGCCAGCAGGACAGCTGAAAAGTCTGCTCTGCTTTAGCAAAAACAGGAAGAAAATCCCACCTTGTGTCCTGGAAAACACCAGTGCTGGCTCCACTAATACAGGCAGCACAGCAGCAGGCGGAAAGGAAGCAGAACTGTTGGCAGAAGTCTCAATCTCTGCACAAAAAAGTCAGCCCTCCTGAGCCCCACAGAGCCAGGGCTGCCATCTTCTGCCTCCTCTCTCTGCACACAACTCTGGGAGCCACAGATAGTTCCGGGCAAGCAGTTGCAATAGCACGGTGACAGACTGCTCTGACCATCATAGCAGGAATCAGCAGCTTGTGGTTCTGCTGCTTGTTCTGGTCTCTGCCTTTCTTTCCCATTCTAAGAAACACTGGCTGGCTTTGCTCATCTCTTGGGGCTTGTAAGAGTTAATATTTGCAAGGCTCTCTGAAAGAGTGCCAAGCATTTAATCTGCAGTATTCCTGTTTATTATCCCTGTTGTATGGAGCCTGCCACTATTTCACCAACTTGCATGTTTGTCTGAACAAGGTCAGTCTCATTAGTTTACATTGTCAGATGGAGCATGGGAGGAAGATTCTCAAAATCTGATTGCTGAGGCAAGTGGTTGGAGAGAAGCTTAGTTTATAATTATTTAAAGGTCACAGAACATGTCTCTGTTTATCTGTGAGCTGCTGCAGAAGCCCATAATTGCAGCTGGGAACAAAAAGAGCAAAGCAGCTACAAAGTTTAATGTAAACAGGCAGCGGACCAAGAAGGTGTTTGGTTGCTGACATGTTTTTATCTTATGGGGCTGGCTGCCCTTCACTACCCCACAGATGCCTTGTCCTGATAAGGGACCAGATGCCTGCAGGGTAGAAATGAGAGGGGTCGTACAGCAGCAGCAGCAGCAAAGGACCTTGGCTTTCTTACCCGACAGACAAAGCATTCAGGGTGCCACAGGGTGTTCAAGGCAGAAATGTAGTTTTCCAGGATAGCCCGGGCACAGCCTCCACACTTGGGAGCAAACATGTCAAAGTAGTCCTTGCGGCAATAGGCCTTGCCATCCTTCTCATGAAATCCTGCCAACAGAGAATAGAGGCAAAGAATATCAGCTCCTGATCTTTACCCAAGACTGGCCAAGCTCTGCGGGGTAACCGTCACGGGTAGGATCATCCTTCCCTCTGCTAACGCACAGACACAGCGGGTAGGGGCTCCTTGTTCTGCTGCCCTTCCTGCACCATGCATACTTCTCCTCTCCAGGGAGAAGATTCCTGCTAGCACCCTTCCCCATAAACAGCTGTAGCCCTTGGAATTTCCATCTGCAGTAGTTCCCCTGTCATCTCTCAGGCTGTCCCCTAACAGCAGCTCTGCCTTACACACTCGTCTGCAGCTCAGGGGAGAGATTGCATGAACCAGCAATACCTTCAGGTCCGAAGAAAGCTCCACACTGGGCACAGAAAAAGTGTTCGGGGTGCCATGTTCTGTCCAAAGCCGTCACCACTTTCTGTTCAGAAGAAGACAAAGGGTAAGTCATGTAAATGATGGCTTCAGCTTGGAGGTAAGGCAGGGCTGGGTGGGGGGAAGAACACATTAATGTTGGTACTGACAAGAGCATGTATTAAAATAGACTGTCCTTCAGAAAGGTGAGTCAATTCTTCCCCACCTCTGGCTCATTCAGGCTTTCCCCACTGCACACTTTTTTTTTTTACCCTAAAAGGATCTTATGCACTGCTTCCTCCCTTATACAGGGCCCCGTCCAGCTCTGGGGACTAGCACTGGTGTCTGTTACTACAGGCTACCAGCAGACAAACGCTGAGGAACCGTTACTGGAATGATGGAGCGATGTGGGGCTCTGAAGGAACTTCAGCAAAGGGAAGAGGGACTGACTCTTCTCACTGCTGTAAGAATTTGACTGGGCCAAGTTGTTTCCACTTCAGACACAGGACAGAGGAAAACCAGAAGTCCCCAAACAAAATCTTCCACCCAGCACACACGGGTGAAATAGAGTTTTGAACACCCAGGCCTGCAGCATCTCGCCAGCGCCCTTAATCCACCCCCCCCCAGGAACTCACATCAAGGATCGGCCCATTGCAGTAGTAGCAGCGAGGGGAGAAGAGGTTGTGATAGTCCTTCTCACAGTAGGGCTGACCATCCCGCTCAAAGAAGTTCCGCGATCCGATCTCCTCCTGGCAGTGGGTGCAGACGAAGTGCTCAGGGTGCCAGGTTTTCCCCATGGCTGTAACTACCTGTTGGGAAGACAAATTATGAAGGACAACTCTATCTCCCCGTCCCCTAGACCACATGACAAGATAACCAGCTGGAGGTCAACAAGAATGACAAGTTCTACTACTCAAGTGAGCCCTGGACTGGGGTAGCATGAAAACTGAATTACCTATCATCTCAGGAGAGGGCAGTCCCTCAAGGGCAGGGTAGAGGTCACTGGAGGAGCTTACAGCGTACCTAGCCAGTGGATAAATAGAGTACTTCAGTTTCTCCAGCATCTCCAGTCTCTTCAGCCTCACGAAACAGCCCTCCCCGTTGCTCCCAACTGCAGCCCAAGATCCAGCAATGAGACAGCACCTTCGACTCACCTGCCCAGCAATAGGCTTCTTGCAGGCTCCACAGACACCTTTGGCAACTGTAGCTACACCCAGCTTGTTCAGGTCAGACTGAAGACTTCCCAGCATGGTGTCCAGCTGGCTGCCAGGCTTGGAGGCTGTGGATGGGGGGGGGCCGCTTTGGCAACTTTAGCTACACCCAGCTTGTTCAGGTCAGACTGAAGACTTCCCAGCATGGTGTCCAGCTGGCTGCCAGGCTTGGAGGCTGTGGATGGAGGGGAGCCGCTCCCAGCTTTCCCCTGCGCCATGAACTGCAGGGAAGAGAAAAAAAAGACTGTAAGGCAAGTGCTGCTGTGCTTACAAGATAAATGCCTGCTGGTGCTGCCAGTGGCTCCTCTGTACAGATGGACAGGAGATTGCTAGGAGACAGCTACACTCTCTGCAGAAGCCTGTGAGAGCCAGAATCAAGCACACACATGTATTCTGCGCCCATGCAGAGACATTCAGAGAGACTGGGATGTAGAACAACAGAGCTGTGAACTGAGGATTTTATTTTCCTTCACTGTGCATACAGCAGAGGTCAACATCAGATCCCAAGCGGCCAGTACAGTGCTCTCCAAGCCCTGCCAAAAATCTGCCTTTACCTCATCAGTTCCTGCCCAACCAACAAAGCAGAGACGCCATCCAGAGGGCCCCTTCCCCTCGACCTCTCTCTATTTCTATGCTGTTGCTTTCTCAGTTGTCACTCTCCCCTCTCCAACAGAGATCTCTTCGTCACGTCACCTCTCTTTCGGCTAGAATATCTCCTCCCTTCCCTCCTTCCCTTGGCACAACCTTCTGCAGATCTTTCTGCCAAGTCTCCTTTGCCCCCATCAGGTGGCTCTCATCCCATGCCTGAGCTAAGCAAGTGGAAGCCGCAGGAAGGAAATAATTCCCCTCAAGCTGCCTGCTGTTTACCTACCGAGAGGGCAGTGCCTCCACGCCAGAGCCCCAGACAGGACTGCCATGGAGAGACTGCCACGTCTATTGTCAGACCGCTGGAAATGCACAAAGGTGAAGAGAAGGGGCTGAAGATACCTGTCTCAGAGGCTGTTTCTGAAACTCACACCACCACAGTACACATAGTTCGGAAAGGCTTCCCGGAAGAAGGGGAGAAATGCTTTTCTTAGGTTCATAACTTACAAACAAAGTATATGTTGTCTTTGGCCACCAAAGCCCCCTTTGCAGGCAAACTGCAGCAATGAAATACAGATTATTTTATCTGACTTTGCCCTGCAATAGCTACTGTCAGGTTTAGAGAGACCCAAAGAAGTCTCTCTCCGGGATACTGGTCTGGTGCACATGTTTTCTCTTATCAAGAGGACAGAATAAAACAGATGTAAAATCTACACTTGTGAAGGCACCAGCCTGCTGCCAGCACAGCCAGGGGAGCAGGGACACGCTGAAGTGCTGCAGAGCCTTGGCAGAACCTGCCCTTCCAGCCACAGGCGCTCTATTCCTCACCCTGCAGCTGGTCATACTTGTAGTCAACTAATTTACTGGATGACAAACCCTGGTTTCTACTTGTTTGTATAAAAGTTCTCATGACATACATAAATTTAGCTTTTTTACAAGCAAGCTTGACTCCCAAGAGAGCCTAACACACAACTTTTCCTCTCCTTTCTCCTCCCCACCATCCCCACAGCCTGCAACCTCTCCTAGTCCAGCAGCACAGAGCAGCCCCACAGCACCCTGATGTCCTGAGCCTAAAACAAACCCTCCACCACACAGCAGTTATTTGCTACCCAACAGTCACAGTGAATGTCTGCAAGCACACCATTGCAAGGAGACTTTTCCCAGGAGGAAGACAGCAGGCCTTTGTAAATTAAGCCAGGCCAGAGTCCCAGGACAAAGCCAGGCTTCCTGCACGGCACAGCAGGAGGAAAAGGGCTGCACCGTGCGGACAGAACCGTATCCTCTCTCGCTCTAACCAGGGCTTGCAGCCACCAGGCCGGGCAGGCACCCAGGCCACACACAAATGACAAATACCACCTGGAGAGAAAGAAGATGAGATAAACTCACCATGCAGGAACAGAGAACTTTACTCGTGCCTGTAGGGACCACACACTCCCGCAAGCCACAGCTAACCTCAGTGCAGGCACAGCCACCTGCTACACTCATTTCTACCTGACCTGGTGATCCAGCCTTCTTGACAGCCCCCAGAGAGTCCCCAACTGAAAGAGGTTTGTTTCCACCTCCTGCAAGCAATGCCAGCTGTTTACAGGGGACACTCAGCACAATATCCACAAATTCATCATGAAGAGGCCCTTCAAATTCCCACCTTCACCCATGAGATCTGCCATCACTCCAGTTCAGTTAGGAGCTCTGCGAGCAGCAAACCATGCGCTACAGGTTATCGTCTACATTAATGGCACAGGGAGCTCTAGGAGCAGATCCCAGCAGCATCTGCAGCACGCCCATCGACCAGAAAATCACACCATGCTGAGAAACAGAAAGGAGGTCCTGCCTTCTCAGGGGCGGGGGGGCCCAGGGGTGCATGAGCAGGCAGCAGGTTGGCACTGCGGACCAGGGGAGGAGCAGAGGTCACCTGAAAAGTACAACAGATCGAGATGCAGAGGTGTATCCCTGCTCACTGCTTGAGAGCTGCCTGTACACACAACATTGCACGTCACTGCAATGATGTGCTCATATACATTAACTTCCCACCACCCTGGAGCTGCAGCCCTTCCTGGACAGGACACACGAACACAGCTCTTGATCCTCATCACCTCCCCAAAATCCACTGGCATTGTGGACACTTGTCTAAACGAGCAAGCACAGGAAGGACTGATGACTTGGCTCCTTCCAGTCTGGAGGTTTTGCCGTCTTTTACTCCCTCCACTCCAAGACCGATTACGGCAGGGAGAGTTGCAGCCTGTGCTTCAGAGCTGCCTGCCTCGTCTCAGAGGGAAACAGAGCCCCTATGGCACAAAGCGCCCATCAGAACCGACAGGAACCACACACACACCAGCAGGTTATTGCACGGACACGCACTTTGCAGTGCCAGACAGGTACAGCTGGGATTAGATATTGCCAGAGTCCTCTCTCCTGTCCAGCAGTTCAGTATCAGCCTTTACCTGAATATTACATCTACTGAGCTGCCAAGTTGGGAGCAGCAGTTAGACTGGAAAACACTGCTACAAAAACAAACCAGAGAGAGAAGCCTGCCTGCACCTGTGGGAAGAAAGCTTCGTCTTCAGTCTGACAGCCAACAGAAACAACTCTCTTGGTGCCAGGGGTCCAGGTCTGGGGAGAACACAAGTGCCTAGGATCTTCAGAAGGAGGGGTGCCCACAACAGAAAGCTCATGATAATCATCATCGGAAGTTTCCCACTGGAATTGAGGCTGGGGAGCCAAGCTGAAGGAAGAGGAGGAGACTGCACTAGGAACTGAGGTAGACGGCACACGGGAAGGCTGAGGTGGGAGGAGAGGTGCACGGCCAGAGAGATGAGAGGGAGTAGCATTAGCAAGGACTGTCTTTGCAGCTTCTTTGGAAGGCTGGAGCGGGGGAGAGGCTGGAACAGAGACCGTTCTCCTTGGGGGGACCGGGGATTCTGGAGGAAAAACCACCTAGAAAGACAGGGAGGAAGAAGAAAGGTGAATAAATCCAAAGAGGAACCAACAAGCACTTCCTGCAACAGGAAGGCTAGTTGTTACCATCTGTTTATCTAAGGGGAAAAAGCAGCAAGAAAGAGGAGGGAATTAGAAAACGTGCTTCCCTGTGTAGCTCAAGGAAGAGCACCTTCTTATACCCAGAACTTCCTGCACAGGTACAGTACTGGGGAAAGCAAAGCATGCCTCTACGACAGGCTTCCCAGTGTGGTTTTAAAAATAATCCCCACGCGGACATTTGACATGTGACAGTAGCCGACTGCCCAGACACCATCACCAGCACCCTCAGATCCCACTCCATTCTTAAACATCAAGAACTAGGGCCCGCTTTCCAGGCCAGACGAGGGTGCAGTAGAAGTTAGTTCTTCATTTCGTGTTGCTTAGGACACTCAGAAACTTAATCTGCACCTCCACACAATGCTATCTGGACAGAGGGACACGCTGGAATTTCCCAGCACATGTCCCTCCTTTCTACCTTCTCTACTTGCTGTCCACCACTCTGCTGTTCCCCCTGGGGTCTGGCAGTGATAATGACCCCCTCTGTCAGCCAGTCATCCTGGCTCTTCCATTCTTCCTGTTCCTGTTTAGCGATGCCCAGTCTGTCCTGCAGCTCTTGAATCACGCGATCTTGGGACTCAGTCTTGTGAAATATGGCAGGACCTAGTTTACGCCTTGGAGAGAGGTCCCGATACATTGGATGCACATTCGCAGTCTCTTTTGTCCTCTTGATTAAAGATTTAATCTAAATGACAAAGGCAATAGTATCAGCAGAGAAGAGCAATGTCAGAGCAAGCCCCAAGATGCAACAGCACAAACTCAAGCCATTAGTGACAACTGTGAGCAGGAAGAGTGATGACATTTATTCCACAATGCCAAAATTCCTCTTGGCACAGCCCAGAACAGTGACTCAGTGCAAGGAAAAACCCCGTAAGGATAATCACAGCAGCCAAAAATAACTATCTAGAAAAGGGAAAGATTAACCAGCAGGAAGCCAAGATAGGAGGTGCAGCATGAGCATGCCATTGAGCATTAAAGAAACCTCAGCATCACAAGGACACAGAGCAGCCGCTCTGCGTTTGCCCTTTACAGGCAAAAGACTCTTGGTCAGAGATGTCTGGTGCACAAAGTGTACTTCCAGCGCTGGAAGGAACACTAACAGCTCCAGCAATGAGACCTAAAAAGGCAAGCAGAGCAGAGGAGCTGCCATCCCAGGTCAGGAACATCCTGCAGTGGCATGAAGCAGCCCTTTAACTTTTCAGAGGCCTCTGTGGAGTGAGTCTTACCCCCATTAGGGAATGAAAATCCATTTCCCACGGAGTTCCCTACAAACCGCCATGTTCTGTGCTGCTGACCAACATGCAGAAGAGACCCCAAGATAAAGCAGAGGACTTCAAACCTCCGTGACACGCAGCTGTCAGTAACACGGCTCAGAGCTGCATGCTGTTAGTGCGGGTGAGCCCGGGCACACTCACAGCACACACAAAACGTTAGTGCGCTGTCAGAACAGTCCCGGCCAGGACTCATCCTACTCCTACATTCAATCAGTGCCTGCCTGGCCTGATGCAGAAATCCTCTCAATGGGTGGTTTGGAGATGCATGGCGGATCCCATTCAGCTTTCCCAATGTTTTCAGGAGATTCCGGAGTGACTGCAGAGCTTCT